AAAGCTGCGCTGCTTCAGTCGGTTTCTTTTCTGTTCCGTCGATGAACACATATTTTCGGCGTGCCTTGAGACTTAAAGAGATAGCCCGAGACCACGCCACGAAATTGTCCCCTTTGAAGATGACATGAGTTATTTGGTTACCGGGCTGATCGCCGGGACCCAAATAATACACGGAAGTTGGGTCGCACATGGTGAAGCTCTGCTACTCGCACGCTGGTGCTGTCTGCGAAGTTCTTCCGAAGACGCGACGCCAATCTACCGCTGCTCTGATACCATCTTAAGTAAGGAAGCAAATAATGATTTAATTGAAAATTATTCTCCTGCCTATACAATTAGCCGAGATAGTCTATATTTACACGTGTTATGCTACCAAAAACAAGAGCCCTTGGCCCATACCTATACAGCTATACTAATTATACGATTAGCAAAGCCCAATCTAATATAGATAAACTATGCTCTGTTTATTTTTTAATAACAATCTTATGATCTTACTCAAGAAAAATAACAACCTTATGATCAGGGCAGAATCTACGGTTGGGCTAGGGTGTGCTAAAGCTCATAGCTACGTCATTTATTTTTCAACTTTTAGTGCACATTGTTTCATTTTTCATATTTGGTTCACCCATTAATGTTTAAATCTAGTATAATTACTTTTTAGCCTAGTCCAACCTAGAACCCTAGAAGCGCCCCAGCATATGACTGATACTAATAACAATTTGTACGTAGGGAGGTGGTCATACTGCACCAGAGTTCCGACCCTTGGAATGCCTGGCGATGTTCGAAAGATGGATATCTTATAACGATATTTAATCATGTGTGATAAATTAAATTTGTGATAATATGTTTACAAATTTACTGCATTTAATGATTACGATTTACAAGTGATGGAGAGTATTTTGGGATAAATTAAGAGCCCGTTTGGCAGCACCAAAATCGGCTGTTTTGGCTGATTCTGCTGAAATTTATGATATTCTGGCTGGAGTGGCTGTTTTGGCTGATTCTGCTGATTTAAGAAAAAAATATTTTAAAAATATATTTTATTAATAAATTAAAGAAAAAATTATATGTAAAAATAGCTAAAATGGTTCTCTACAGTAACTTCAGCCAATACAGCCAGAAAAGTAACTCCAGCCTTACTTTTTCGGCTTATTACACAATTCAGCGCGCGAAAGTAAAAGTTACGTGTTTGGTGAAAAAGCTGGCTGATAAGCCTGATAAGCCGAAAACAGAGTTTTCCAAACGGGCTCTAAAGCTTCTACTGCATTTTATGATTACATAGCAATTATATAAAGTTGGAAATTTTCGAATTAGGAGTAAACATGTTTGGAACTTCTAAAATAAAATTATTATGTTTTTCTTCTCAAAATAGGAGTAACATGACAGTATATATTCTGATTTTTAAGTCACTACTGCCAAAATAGTTGCAGTACTAGACATTAACATAAAAATATTTTCTGCCATTAATGAGAATATTTTTAATCTTGGCGGTAACGACTCCTATTTTGGGAATAAAAACATAATTTCTTATTTTTTCATTTCATAGTGTTTTTACTCATATTTAGGATATTTCCCTATAAAGATTATTAGATGTATTTTATGAAAACTATTCATGTAGAGTGCCGATTATTTATCTTTTAGAGCGTGTTCAAATTTACAAAACCATGTGGTCTTATTTGAACCATATCATCATACTATGTTTGGCAAGTATAAGTTCCTGCCTTCTAGTATTTGTAATGTTCAAAAGTCCCTAAAAGTTTCTAGTTGTATGTTTGGCATCACAATTTTTAAGAGCTTTTCAAAAATTAAAAGATCTTTTTTGAGATGCTCCAGGGAGTAGCATTTGAGAAAAGCTCGTGACTTTTAGTACTAATTAGTCCTAACTCCTAACAGCTTGTATACCAAACCGAATTAAATCAAATAGTCAGTTTTTTTATCTAACAGCTACCACATTTTCTTTTTAAGATCTTTTCAGTCATTAAAAACTAACAGTTATTAAAAAGCTCACAAAAGTATCTTTTCACCTAGTTGTGCAAAACATACCCTTAGACTGTTTAGAAAATAAATTGAATTTGAAAACTATTGCTTATATTAAATTTTTTTGTCTTGAACTAGATATAAGTGAAAGTCAATTATAGGATAAAAGAACTACACTCGATTGGCTATACTATACGTTTGAAATAACGATTAAATATTTAAAATTGCCATAAAACATGTGCTTTAAAAGAAAGAAAATTTTGAATAAGAGGACTGACATAACATTAAAGATCTTAAATGAAATGTTGTGGTTATTATTATTTGAAATGTTTTCAACTTAGGCTCTTCATTCAAACGTCAAAGCACATGTAAAGTCACTGTCCAAACTTATTACTCCCTCCGTCCCGTAATTAAGTTCACAGTTTGACTTCACACAGATTAAGAAAATAAATTTGACTTTACGGTGGAGTGCATTGTTTTGCACTGTTTAAACACTGTTTGGACATTGTTTGGCACTGTTTGGCACTTTTTTTATGTAAATTATTTGCCAAATAAGGAAAGTTTTGAAGTATGAAGTTAATTTCGGTACTGCCTGAAAAGGAAAGTGAGAAGTTAATTTAAGCTTAAAATGATCTTTAATGGCGACACAATTAAACATATAGACGACATAGTCCACTTTGGCACAATTTAAGCTAGTCTAATCTGATTATGCTATGACTCATATCAGCCCGTTTGGTGACAATTTTTTTCGACTTATCAGGCTTATCAGTCAACCTTTTAACCAAACATGTAATTTTTGATTTCGTGCGTGAAATTGTGTAATAATAAGAAAAAGAAAGAGTGAAATTACTTTTCTGGCTGTATTGGCTGAAGTTACTGTAGATGACCGTTTTATATATTTTTCATATTATTGTGTTATTATGGAATATATGGGATTTAGGATTACTTAATAGCAATTAACAAGGGTGTGAATGAGCCAAGCCGCTCGCGAGCTGCTTGTAGATTGCTCGGGAAATGCTCGAGTCGAGTTCGGTCATATTAAGCTCGACTCGAATAGTTAACAAGCTCAATTCAAGCCTATTTATTTTAGGCTCGTGCTCGCGAGCCTTTGTGTCATATTTTACATATAATAAATATATATGTAATAATTATATATATATATATACTTTTTTTTTAAATATGTGTTCTAATTTAGGACTATTCCATTTTCAATACTTATCACATAGTATATTATAATAGTAATAATTACAAAAATTACAAAAATAATAACATATGCGTAGTATTATTATATACTATTATAACCATAATCTGTAATAATTATAATATGCAATCTTAATATTTATTGACAGTAAAATAAAGAATAAAAATGCTAGTAAATGAGAGATAAACTAAAAATGAGAATGAATAGGTACACAATATTTTTAGCTCGAGTTCGAGCATCTTATTCGAGTTCAAACCTATAAAAATTAATTAGCAAAACTTGACCCAAGCTCGAACGTCCAAGCTTGAATTGAGCTCGAATTATTTAACTCGTCCAAGCTCAAGATCAAGCTAGAGATCGTGAATTCTTATCAAGCTCAAGCATACCCATGCTCGCACTAGTAGAAAAGTGTCTTATAGTGACACTTCATTAGTGACACTTTCTGATAAAGTGTCACTATTAGACGACATATAGTAGTAACAATGCATAAATGTCATATGTATATGACATAAAAACATCAACAAATAATAGTGACACTAAATAAAAAAAAGTATTTAATTTTAACCTTAACAAATATTCACTTTTCTTTTCCCTCCCAAAAATAAACTTCCCGCCATCTATTTTTAGTAACCCCACACCAACACTTTCTTTCCTTAGCAAAAATTTCTCATCCACTTCTTTCTCAAATTAAATTAGTAACCCACCATACCCTAGCTTCCTTCTCTCTGTCGATCGATAAACTCCCCTTTCCTTAGATAGAACGTAACCCTAGATACACCTAGATACACTGATGTCGATCGATTCGATTAGCTTCTCTGCTGAATACCATAGCCGCTGCTGAAGGCTACGAAGAACACCACCGACGGCTCTCGATCGTCTGGTAGCTTGGGAAGAACTTCATCGGTACGGTCAATCTCCATCTTCTGCGAAGAACACCACCGACGGCTCTCGATCGTCAGGTAGCTCTTCTCCATCTGGTTTTTGCTTTTGGTGTAGGGGGTGCGATAGGCCTGGGGCTGAGTTAGTTTCCGTATGACCTGCGCTTAGGTCAGCGAGGTTGATAAGGTTTGATGTTGGGGGATTTGGGAAGGTTGAGGGGGTGACAGTTTATGTGTTTTCTGGGTTCGAGGTAGTAAGGGAGTTTGGGGTTTGGTTTGGGGGATCTGGGACGCTTGAGGGGGATTGTAAAACTGTAGAGAGGGAGTTTAGGATGTTTGAGGGAGATTGAAGTACTGTAGAGGAATATGGGGGTGTTGAGGTTATGTTAGGAATTCAGATTATTGGATGGATGTAGTGGAAAATTCATTGGAAGAGAGGTCTGCAAGCTATAACTGTTTTTTTCTTCATAGTGACATTTCATTTTATAACTGTTTTTCAGTGCTGTGTTTCATTTATCTTTCCAATTTAGTCATTGTCTCATTGACGTATAGTTAATGTCTGTTTCGTTTGTTTATTCTTTTTTAGTTCATTGCGCATAAATACTTGCGAAGCGTAAGTAATTTCATTGTTGCAGCACTTGCATTTCGTTTTCTGCGTATTTTGTTGAATTTCGGTCTGTTAAACTTTGAATTTGAGCCATTCCCTCTCAGCTCTAATATCAAGGTTTATGAGAAGAGAGTACTAATGTATGTCGAAGTATGCTATATGTTTAATTAAGTTAGGAATTTCCTAACGGGTTTTCTGCTATATTTTATGCTTTGGAATTTTGCTAACGGTTTTTCTTCTACATTTGCAAGTTTCTTTTTCTCATGAATTATGAGTCTCTATTAGTGGTTTTTGCCTCATGTGCTTCTTAAGTTAGAATTCTGACCGTTGATTATTTCTATGTGCAGCTTCTGTCTGCTGTGAATTGCTGGCTAAAGTGCATGATTTTATCCTTACAATCAAACGGATAATCCAGAGTGTAAGTCTCGTACTTGGTCCTGGTTATATAACTGGTAGATTTGCCAGATTTTGTCTTGTTCTCTGTACACATCTAGTGTAAAAGTATGCTTTCTGTTAAATCTAAAACTTGAAACTACCTGCCTAAGCTACCTGGTTTCTTGTTTTGGCATAACACTTGACACTCACAGTCACACACATACACGTGCACAAATTCCACTTTGGTTTATCATTCACTTTCTTTTGTAAACTATACAAGTATCAGTACAATGGGCAGGAGGAAGCAACCAATCATGTCTAGAATTGAAGCAAAAAAATGAAGCAACCAATCAGTAAACTGAAATGTATACGCACCTATGAGGGAGTTTGGGATGTTTGAGGGAGATTGAACATGTATAGCAACCAATCATGTCTAGATTGAACATGTTTGAGGGAGATTGAACCAATCAGTAAACTGAAAATTTACTATAAATTTTCTGCAGATTGTTCAACAATAAACCTCCTTAAATTTCCTTGATTAAAACTTAACTTTAATTTGCTTTTAAACTAGTTTGATATGTCTCCATCTTTGAACAAAAAACATTATGATAAACACAAATGCACCACAGACCTGTAACTTTTTATCAATATTGAAGATATTTAAACTATTGAAGTTATGTAAACACAAACACTTCTTATGGCTTATACAAAACTACTGCTTTTTTAAATGCATTTTTTTGTACATGTACTACATTATTAATACACTATCTATTTTAGATATTAAATTCTTTTCATATAATCTGTAGAAGAAATCATCTAAGTATATGAGATAAACATAAACACTTCTTATGGATTATAGAAAAGTACTACTTTTTTTAATGTAGTTTTCCTAATTTGCACATCAGGTGTTAAGGTTGAGACTGCTGTTTTCCTAATTTGCAGAAGCTCCAAAGGCTTCTTTTAAGATCTGATCTATGGATTGACTGTCTAGGCACGCACGGTCTACAAATATTTTCTTTCAGCTAACTTATAACTTCCTCAAGAGGTATGTTTTTGAAATTGTCCGGTGCTAAAAATTCAAGACATTATTTGGTTAATTTCTGAACTGATTAACTCATTACCATGATTGTATGTTTGTATATGATCGAAATGATTGCATGAGTAAAACTTTCTGGTGCTCAAATTTAAATTCAGTCTAGTATGTACACTTGGGAAAACACATCTATTTTTGTAAAGTACTCAAGGCTCAATCCTAGAAGTACAATCATATGTGGTCTTCAAATACTAAAAAAATACTCAAGACTAACTTGAATAATATATATGGTCTATAAATTAGTAGTAATATAAAAAAACCGCTACGTAGGATATATTTTATTTTGTTTTGTAAAAATGATCAGTTAAATGTGACAAATTGGAACTCAATTATCAGGTAACAATCAAATGGAGAAATCATGGATAAGGAATGACAATAGATTGTCTGAAGAATACACAGATGGAGTCAATGATTTCATAAACTTTGCTATGCTTAACTCCGAAAACCGTAGATCACTTAGATGTCCCTGTAACACGTGTTGCAACATGGACTTTCATAGTCCTGAAAAAGTTAAAGTCCATTTGCTTAAATATGGCTTTCTGAATACGTACCTTGTTTGGAATTGGCACGGAGAGGTTGAAAAAACATCATTTTCTTTTCACTCACAGTCAGCCCTCCATGATCAAAGCCAACTTGAGGACATGTTAGGTAATGTTTTTGAACAATTTGATAGTCACCCAAAGAATTTTAGGGATGTAGTTGAAGATGCCGAAAAGCCATTGTACTCGGGTTCAAGTTATTCGAGGTTATCCGGGTTGATGTTGTTGTATAATATAAAGGGGAAATATGGGTGGTCTGATCAAGGATTCACAGCTTTGTTAGAAGCTATTTCAAACTTATTACCCGCAGAAAACACCATTCCGAAATCTATGTATGAAGCTAAGAAAATATTGAAAGTGTTAGGGCTAGGCTACCAGAAAATACATGCTTGTCGTAATGACTGCCTTCTTTTCCATAAAGAGCACGCTGATCTTGACAAGTGCCCAACATGTGGAGAGTCTAGGTGGAAGGAAAAAAAAAAACGGAGCTATAACAGCTATCAACAAAGTTCCAGAGAAAGTTCTTTGGTATTTTCCTCCCATTCCTCGGTTTAAACGTATGTTTCAGTCACCGAAAACCGCAGAATACATGACATGGCATGCAAACCAACGCATCAAAGATGGCAAACTGCGCCATCCAGCAGACTCTCCTGCTTGGCACCATATTGATAACACATGGCCTGATTTCGGTGTAGAGTGTAGGAATCTAAGATTAGCTCTTTCAAGTGACGGAGTTAATCCACACAGTTCCCTAAGCTCTAAATATAGTTGTTGGCCCGTTCAGTTAGTAGTTTATAATCTTCCTCCTTGGTTGACTATGAAGAGAAAATTCATGATGTTGTCTCTATTAATATCTGGGCCCAAACAGCCGGGCAGTGATATAGATGTGTATCTAAAGCCCTTGATTGATGACCTAAAAACCCTCTGGAATGATGGGGTAGATGTTTATGATGGGTTTAGAAATGAAACCTTCAACTTAAGGGCTGTATTGATGTGGACGATTAGCGATTTCCCGGCATATGCCAACTTGAGTGGGTGTACTGGAAAGGGGTATTACGCATGTCCAGTTTGTGGTCCTTCAACCTCCTCAACCTGGCTTAAATGCAGTAAGAAGTGTGCTTACATGGCTCACCGCCGTTTTTTGCCTCATGATCATAAACTAAGAAATATGAAAAAATTGTTCAACAATAAAGTTGAAAGAGAAGGACCTCCTGCCACCTTGTCGGGTCAAGATGTCCTTAAATTGGTGGAAGATATTAATTATAAGAGTGGAAAGAAAAAGGGAGTCAAGAGAAAGCGTACGAAAAAGAATGAAGACATGAAAAATAAATTGTTTAAAAGGAAATCAATATTTTTTGATTTGGATTACTGGCAACATTTATTAATCCGACATCTCTTAGATGTGATGCACATTGAGAAAAATGTGTGCGAGAGCATCTACGGGACGCTACTTGATCAATCCACAAAGACAAAAGATGGCATTAAGGCTCGGAATGACCTTCTTCATATGAAGATTAGGAAAAAGTTAGTTCCCGATGACAGTTCTAATTCCTTACCTCCAGCACCATACACCTTGTCCAAAGCAGACAAAAAAAAGTTCTGTCAAACCATATTGGATATCAAGGTTCCAGATGGTTATTCTTCAAATTTGAAAAGCATAGTGTCTGAAGATGACAATAATCTTCAAGGTCTTAAATCACATGACTGCCATACCCTGATGCAACAAATTCTTCCTCTAGCCATTCGAAACTTGTCTCTCTCAAAAAATGTTACAAATTCTATAACTGATATGTGTCTGTTCTTCAATTCATTATGTGAGAAGGTGCTGGATAATGATGCACTTGACATACTAGAGGCTAATCACCGGGTTACACTATGTCGTTTGGAGCAATATTTCATGCCTGCTTTTTTTGATATAATGGTTCACTTAACTGTTCATCTCGTTGCCCAAGTTCGGTTGTGTGGGCCAGTTTACCTATGTTGGATGTATCCGTTTGAACGATTCATGAAGTTTTTAAAAGGTTATGTGCGTAACCATTACCATCCAGAGGGATGCATGGCTGAATGTTATGTGGCAGAGGAAGCGTTAGAGTTTTGTGCTGAATATCTTTCAAATCACGAGTCAATTGGATTACCTGTGAATTATCGTGAGGATGGGCCACCTGAAAGGCCGATAGGACGTGGAGACACGCAGACTGTTGATTCCTCACTACTAGAGCAAGCACATCGTACCGTGCTGTTTAATACCCCTGAAGTCCAACCTTATATACAGTATGACTTAACTTTTATATAACTCTTACTTAATTTTTCTTCACTTCCATATTTATTAAGTTTTCTAATATTATCCAAATAGGGAACACATGGACATATTACAGTCACAGAATATTGCTTGTTGTGATACGGAGCATTATCGTACATTTGTGGACTGGTTTGAGGAGAAGGTAGTTGATAAATCTAACCTTATCTATATACATAACAAATAATAAGAGTCAAATTTACTTAAAATTTAATATTTATTTGTAGGTTTGTGTTGATGTTGCGAGTGGTGTGACTGTCGCTGAAACAGTGAGGTGGTTAGCTAAGAAACCTAACACAACAGTGACAATATACTCAGGCTATAATATAAATGGGTTTTCCTTTGCAACTAAGGATCGAGATTCGAATCGGGTAACACAAAACAGTGGTGTTAGACTCGTAGCAGAAACTGTTCAAGTTTCCAGCTCTAAGGATAAAACTCCATGTTTAGCATCGATGAATTATTATGGGGTCCTTGATGAGATTTGGGTCTTGAACTATCTAATGACTAAGAGAGTTGTTTTCAAGTGTTCTTGGGTAGATAGTAGGCATGTGAAAACTGACAAGTTGGGCTTCACAGTAGTGGATCTTAATAAGATAGGTCAGAAAAATGATTGTTTCATTTTAGCTTCCCATGCCAAACAAGTTTTTTATGTGAGAGATCAACTTGATCCTAAAAAATCAATAGTGTGTTCAGTTGGGCAGAAGGTTTGTAATGGTATGGATGTTGACAGTGATGAAATGATATTACACGAACCTTTAACTTCACAATACCCAAACGATTTTAACGATGCGGAAGCTGAAGATGATGATCAAATTTATCATAGGATTGACATTGATGCAATTCCAGTATCCAATGAGTCTCAATTACCCTGATTTATGTACTTCGTTCAGTAAGTTATAAGCATACTTGAATCATTTTTCTGTTGTGATTCATTTCTATTTTTATTTTCACTAATTAAATAATAACCGCATATTTGTATTATATGTATACAGGTGAAAGCTAGCCATGTCAAAGTATGAAGAAGTCGTGGATGATTTTGATGTGGACGAAGGGTTGGAAGATTTGGGCCAACGCCCTAAAAGGAGACAAAAGACAAAAAAGAAAATGCTACTAAAGAAAGCTGCAGATGATAAGGTGGTGGTAAAGGTGAATAGCTTTGGTGTTCATGCAGGTAAAGAATGGACAGAACTGACCAATTATATTGGTGTCTTGGTGCGGGATCATGTTTCCATAGTGCATGATGAATGGAGACATGTGAAAGTTAAACTTAAAGATGAAATGTGGAACCATCTTAAGGTAATAAATAATGTTTGTTGAAAAACAAGGCTACATTTCAGTATTAAACTATTAATCTGCTAGAGGGCTAACAACTTTATAATAAATTGCATGTAGGAATTGTTCGTGTTGAGTGACAATTCAAAAAAGCATGCGTTAGCTACTATGAGTGTAGCTTTCAGAAATTTCAAATCTATGCTGCGAACTGACTTTATCTATCAACATGAGAATGAGCCGGAGAAGTTAGAATTACCTCCCGCGGAGTACAAACACATTTCGAAGAAAGAATGGAAATTATTTGTGAAGAAGACTTTCTCCGAAGAATTTGTGGTAAGTTATACTCCTACAATTCAAGATTTTTTGGTAAACCGTGAAAGACCTACAATTTGAGTATTAATTTGTTTCTTATTGTGAAGAAGACTTTCTCCGAAAAAAACATCTTGCAGCAGTTTCAAGAAGGTCCCCGCGATTCATGCATATGAAGAATCTTCCCGAGGAGAATGTAGTTAGAGCAGCTAATAACGCACCATTAAGTGAAGCATCACGAGAAGAGGTTGTGAGTGAACTAGGTGGTACTAAAACAAAGGTATTGTTTAATCATATTCTTTTTTATAATATAATAATTTGAAAATGGGGTAGGTGGGGAGCCTTTGCGGCACTGGGGTAAATGAAAATGAATGGATAATATAATAATCTGAATTTATGTTTTTAAAATTAAATCTTAATAATATAATTTAATAACTACTGCGAATGATGAATGATTATTTAATCATCTTATAAAATGTATTTGAGGTTGAACCTCCTCACCTCAAGGAAGAAGTCATTCCAGAGAAGTTAATTGAAGTTGAAGCTGGAGGTGTTGTAGTTGTTAAAGAACATGCAAGGGCTAAGATGAAGAAGTCAAGGCAACCACCGGCAAGGAAACTAATAATGCAAAGAACTACAAGGTTTGCTGCCGAAAAAAGAAAAGAGCAAAGCAATAGCATGAAGATGTTTTCTATGCTAGTTGACAAATGCCTAGGAGATGGGTACATGGTCGAACATGATGCAGAAGTATTCGGGTTTGCAACTAAATCTATTTTCAATAAGGATGTGTGCGGCCTTGTAATCAACTTTGAGCAGGTGAACAATTCTGTTGTAGAAATCTGGTCTAGGTAAGTTTGATTTACAATTTATTTAAGTTATCCATTCTGAAAATTATCATGAGTGGTTAATTTTCTTTTTTCATTTATGTTAGTTTTGCAGCTCTATATTGATAAAACTCCATGTGATTTTTTTCATTCAATGTGTAGGCACTTGCATGAGAAGATGCTTCAAGATGGAGGTAATATGCCAGTCCAATTTGGCACGTCTGCTGCAGTACCAGTGCCATTGAAATCCTCAGATGAGTCCATTACAAGGAGGTCTCGATATATAGCAGATCTTTTGGCTGTTGGTTTGCTTGGGCAAATCACGCTAATCCCTTATAATACATGGTAATTAAGATGGTTAAAAGTATTACACTAAATCCTTCTTTGCACTGACCAATGATTTGACTTGGAGTACTACTAGTGAAAGTAGAGTTAGTAATCCTCAGGGCCGTCTTTGGGGCCAGTCAGCCCAGGCGTCTGCCTAGGGCCTCCCATCTGGTGAGGGCCTCCAAAAAAGTTCGTAGTATTACTAATACTCCATATGAAAATTTAATTTTAAAGGTTAGCTATTTGAATTGGAACTTGAAAGCCGAAAGTAGAAATGTAGAATAGAGAAGTGTATGTCTAGGTTAGGTTATAAGGATTTTGAATCTTTAGTGTTTGGCTTAAATACTTGACGTCTTGAAGTTCTAAATGGAAAAATGCCTAAATATTAAATACGAGTACATCCAACTATTCAAGTGTGATTGCATGGATTCCACTAAATTAGTTACTCCGTATTTTATTTTATTTGTGACTGTATTTAGAATTTTTAAGTTTTGAATTGATTTGTTTTGATTTTTTAATCTATGGTATAGTATTACGGAGTATCATTTATCAAGACATGAACGAATATTTGACCCGGGGTGCCCTAAGAGATAGAATTAGATGAGAAAGAGATTTGATTTACAATCATTTGTTGGCTACTTGGCTCTATGGATTGGTATGTAAAACCAATTTGTTCTATTGAAAAAATGTTAGGTAGTCTTGATTAGTGATGTTCTTATAAATTTCACTTTAAGATATATAAAAATTAAAACTTTTCGTCTAGGGCCTCCAAAATCCTGGAGACGGCTCTGGTAATCATGCTGGTTTACAGTGTCGCATGCTGCAAGTGGATGATCTTTTATTTTTAATGGTCTACTAGTTTAAAAAAACTGGTAATGCAAAGTGCAAATTAATGTGATTGTGCTCAATCTTTTATGATCTTTTACTTTTACTTTTCTGGGGTCATGCAATGTGCATAAGCTCATCTGTAAGAATTGGTTGGTTTGTGTGATTGTGCTCAATTGCTATGGTGATGCATATTCAAATGTCATAAGCTTTGTTTAACTATCCCAGAATTGACCTTAAAAAAGTATTACACTAAACATTATTTTGCTACTGATTCGTATCCTTTTATTTCAACCTGGATTTTATTATAGCAATTGATTAACTTTATAATATATCGTGTAGCAATCATTGGGTGTTAGTAGCTATTGATATTACGGCATGGACAGTGTACTATTTGGACTCAATTGGAGAGAAGCCATCAGAAGATCTGTCACTAATTGTGAACCAGTTAAGTTATTTTTGAGTGTCATAATTGTGGTACTTAATTACATGCATGTACGTAGGCCTTTTGTTGTAATTGTTACCGTCAGAGCATTGTGTTGAAAAATAAACACTTTTAATTATAAGTCAATGAAAAAATCATGTACTCATATCTAACTTGTATTTGAATATCAGGGGAGTGAAAATTCATCATGCCTCTGTTTCTAAGAAGAGGTTATCTCTGAATTGGGTAACAGTCATGGTATGTTCTTCATTAAACTAAATTCTATTTGGCATGTTTACATTATGTTGTATAATAATACTAATTTGTACTTCACACTTATCTAGTGCCCTAAGCAAACTGGTTCTATGGAATGTGGATACTTCTTGATGAAGTACATGAGTGACATTGTTTGTGATGTTAACGTCCTGAAAAAGAATGTGAGTTAAACGTGGACTGTTTATATATATTTTTGTGGGATAACATTAATTGAAGTTTGTATATGTATTTTTATACTCTAGTTCTCAACAATAAAGGACTACTCTGAACAAGACATCTTGCAAGTGCGGGAGGAGTGGGCAGCATATGCAACAAAATTGGTCCTAAAGTAAGAATTTTATTTTCATTTTGATTTATTGTTGTTGCTGCCTTAGATGATTATGAATTCGGTAAAGTAAATCATTTTGTTGTAGAAATGTTAGACTAACACGGTTAGACTTGAAAAGTAAATGCAATGAAGAGAATGTACATATTGTGCAATTAATTTCTTATACTTCTTGTGAAGAACATATTGTGAAGTGTTACTTTACTAACTGAAAAGTAAATGCAATGAGAAGTGGGCAGCATATGCAACAAAAAAGAACTTGAAAAGTAAATCAGTTTGTATTATTTTGAATTACTTGAAAAGTAAATCAGTTTGTATCATTTTGAATTACACTGTTGAACTAATTAAATGTGTTGAACTAAATGTCATCCTTTAATTAGTGCAGGAGTTTCTAACATGGTTTGTAAAGCAAACTTCAATTAGTAGTAGAATACGAGTTTCAATTCTAAGCATTGTAGTATTCTATAAAATTGTCGTGCATATGTACATATTGTGCAATTAATTTCTTATACTTGTACGTACTTTTTGTTTACAGATGCGGTTGAGTTGAATGATGGTCTGGTGATGATCAATTCTTGTACTTTTGGTGTGAAGGAATATATCAAGGAACACTCTATTTTGGCTGTTACATGTAACAACTTTATGTTGGATTGTAGGTTCATGTTTTGTGGAATGTAAAACTATTATGCATGCCCCGGTTAATTGTGGCGTCATTTTTGCTCGAAACTGAAAACATGCGCCCATTTTGTTGTGGAAGTTGTAACCTAGCATGAAGAATTAACAATGATGACTTAACACTATTATTAGATGAGATGTATTTAAAGTTGGTTGCGTTTTTTGCATTACATCTTTTAGTGTATTGCTTGAAATCTGAACAATTAGTTTGTTGTAAAAATAAACATAAACTAATGTATCATGAATGCAAGATATAGTGCAGTGTCAAAATGATATGACACCAAACCATCACAAAATTTGAATGTGTATTAGTATCACTATATTTGCTGATGTTGGTATATCACTAAAAAATATGATACCATGGTATCACAAAAATTCTTGATATGTATATATCATTAAAAAACGTGATGCATTGGTATCACAAAAATCCGTGTTACATATATATCACAGTTCTCAATGATGTTTATATGTCATAATTTTGTGACACAAAAGTGATTTGTTAACAGTGACACAAAATTTTGTGTCACTTGCCCCACTTTTCTGTGACACTTTCAGTGTGTCACTAAATCGTTTAGTGACACTAATTTACTGTCACTATAAGCCATTTTTTTACTAGTGTCGGGCTCGGCTCGGCTCGTTTGCACCCCTAAGTGTGCATATGTTACATGTAAGGGTTACGTTGGGCCCAGGTTATCCACATGGGTAGTTGTCTATAAAAAAAATAAAATAAAAATAAAAGATGTGGGTGTTGGAACTTGGTGATAGAAAGAAGTTAGAGCAAAAGTAGAGTGAAAACTGAAAAGGTTGTTGTGTAAATAGTTTGGTAAAATAATACTCCGTAGTAGAGTACAAGAATTTCGATGTATATCCTAAACGGAAAATGTTGCTATCTAAAGGCAAAGTACGAGGACTGGGCACTAAGCCCAAAGGCAAAGAACAATGCTACAAATATATACAGGTTTTTAGTGAGAATCTCTCTTAAGATGAGATCTCGTTAAAATGAAACTTTTAATCCTAGCCTTACATTTCTACATTTCTCACCTTTACATTTTTACATATCTAGGGGTTCTCAAAACAATCCTCCCTTGTATAAAAGCCCATTGTTCCAAAAGCTAGTGATTCTCCAATTTGAAGGCGAGTTTGTGCTATTTACACCCTGGCAGATTCTCAGTGTGAGATTACTCCTAACCTGGACATCGTAAACCAGTGGTCAACTCCCTGTATTGAATACATAGGGTTTTTGGAATGAAGAAATTCAAATTAGGTATGTATCTATAGCGAATTGCCGAAGTTGGTCGAACTCGGTTGAAATTAGGGACGCAAGCCGTGCATGCTTGCTATACACGCCGTGCGCATTGCCACACACGCCGTGCATGGCTGGTTGTAGTTGTGCCTGTAACACCCCGGCCGCGCAGGACCCGGGGTAGTTACTCCAGACCTCTAGTACTGTCCCCCACAAACCACCACAAGCCTTTACCGCGCACTTTGTCCTCACTCATGCGCGCCCTGAGAAACTTCCCAGGGGGTCACCCATCCCAAGACTACTCTCGTGCAAGCACGCTTAACTTTGGAGTTCTTGGGTGATGAGCTCCCTTAAAAGGAGATGCACCTCTGTTGGTATGAGTAGTACTATTAATCCTCTTAAAAAATATCTCGGGTATTACAGCATTATAGGCCAAATGAAAAGAAACTGAACTCAAGAATAGTTAGTTATTTTGTAAGATACTTTAAAAGGTCAATGGGGTATAAGTTTTATGACCCCACTACCAGGATTTTTTTTGAGACGGGTAATGCTTGATTCTTTGAGGATGTTGAGTTTGGCGGTGGGGAGATAAGGTTAGAAATTTTGTCCTTGAGGAAGAGCATGTTACTCTTCTTTCAGTTGTCATTGAACATGATCAAGATATTTTTATTCCTAATGATGTTCAAGAAACAACTTCAGTTCAAGACAATTTTGAAAACCTCCCCAATCAAGTACTTGAAATTATTAATGAAGATCAAACTCAACAAGCTCAAGAACCCGATTGAGGTGCCATTAAGGAGATCCACTCGAGAGAGGAGAAGTGCAATTCTAGATGTTTATATTGTATTTCTCCAAGAACATGAGGAAAATTGGGAATTGGTGGAAGAAATAATTGTCTTCCTCCAAGAACAAGAATCAGGCGTGGTTTTGCAAAAGATGATTCCGTTAAGCCATGAAAAGTTATAACTCTCATGAGCGACAATGACGTTTGGGAGCTTGTCTCATTGCATGAAGGTGCAAAACCCATTGGTTGTAAATGGATATTTAAAATCAAGAGGGATTCAAAGGGAAATGTTATAAGGTTTAAAACTCATCTTGTTGTTAAACACTGCACTTAAAAGAAAGGAATTGACTATAAAGAGACTTTCTCTCCAGTATCTTCGAAAGACTCTATTAGAACAATAATGGCATATTGGCACATTTTGACCTTGAGCTTCATCAGATGCATGTAAAAACTGCACCTCCCAATGGTGACATTGAGGAATCAATCTATATGGAGAAACCAGAAAACTTTGTTTCAGGAGATCCAAAGAAAATGGTTTGCAAATTAAAGAAATTCATTTATGGTCTGAAGCCGACTTCTCATCAGTGGTATCACAAATTTTATAAAGTCATTATATCTTTTGGTTTTCAACCAAATGTTAGTGATGATTGTATATGCCACAAGTTTAGTGAGAGTAAATACATGTTCTTGGTCTTGTATGTTGATGACATACTGCTTGCTAGCAACATATAGGCTTATTGCACGAAACAAAGACATTTCCTTCAAATAATTTTGAAATGAAAGATCTTGGTGAGGCTTCTTTTGTATTAGGATTTTCAATACATCGAGAACGCCCCAAAGGCATTTTTTGACTCTCACAAAAGAGCTATATTGATAAGGTTCTCAAAAGGTTTGGCATGCAAGACTCCAAATCAGGAGATACCCCAGTTTCTAAGTAGACAAGTTTAATCTCATGTAGCGCCCTAAAAATGGTTTTGAATCTAAATAAATGAGGAACATTCCTTATGCTTCGGCTGTAGGGAGTTTGATGTGCGCTCGGGTCTGTACAAGACCAGATTTAGCATACGTCGTTGGGATGTTAGGCAGATATTTGAGCCATTCGGGAATGGACGATTGGAAAGCAACCGAACGGGTCATGCGGTATTTACAGAGAACAAAGGAATATATGCTCACATATTGGAGAGTGGACCAGCTTGAGATGATTGGGTATACTGACTCTGATTTTGCTGGATGTCAAGATTCCTTGAAATCCACTTTAGGCTACATCTATATTCTAGCTAGAGGAGCTATCTCCTGGACGAGTATCTAGCAAACTCTTGCAGCTACTCCCATCATAGAAGCAGAGTTTTGTAGCATGTTATGAGGCATCCAATCAGACATTATGGTTACAAGATTTTGTTAGTGGATTGCGCATAGTGGACAACATTGAAAGGCCACTAAAGCTATTGTGTGGCAATAGGTCAACAATCCTCTATGCTAAGAACAACAATAGTTTCACCAAGAAAAACAAATTGGGGTCAAATTTAAAGCTATTAATGAACGAGTACTAGAACGAAAGTTATCTATAGAAAACATTAGCACAAATTCCATGATTGTGAATCCGCTCACTAAAGGATTGCCACCTAAAGTGTTTCATGAGAATTTTGCTCGAATGTGTTAAATTTGAGCGTTCATTTTCTGTTTCTCAATCTCAGCTCCTTGCGCATTTGTTCTATTTCAGCATTTCCCCCCTAATTTTCCTCTTGAAACTTCTTTCTCGAAGTGCTCATAATTGTATTGATAACATTTGGTGTCGTTGAATGCCACTGGTCAGTCTCTTTTACCTTAGCAATGTCTTTCTTGGTCACATCTCTTCCAAACAGTTGTGTATATCTCTTACCAGAGGCTGCTCACATCTTGCAACACGTGAGTCAGATTTTGCAATCATGTGCTCCCTATAAATTACGAACACATATGAGCGAAATTATACTAACAGAATTTCAATTCAACTGGTTAGTTAGTTTTACTCAAGTCCTTATGAACTTAGTTATGCACTTTCAACATCTACTGAGGGATTCTTCAGAGTGCAAATCAAAAACTAGTATTTTTGCATTGTAGGTTTGTTCTCAGGTTGCTCATTAACATTGATTGCAGCTAATATTGTTTCTATCCGTGCTAAAGACATATTTCATGAGGGTAGTGGTCAGTTTTTGGAAAACATATTTTCGTTTTACAGGTTTTTGTACTTGAACCGACTTTGCCTTTCCCTAGTTTCTCCTGATTATTAACAGAGTTAAAACAGAGTTGAAGTAGTCTTTATTTATAGGGCTTTTCATATGATAATGTTAGTAAGTCTAAAACAAAATGACACAATCCTATTTTCAGTATAGGAACCATAGTTAACCTTAGGAACTTGTTTTAGCGGGCCATACACACGTATATTGGTGATACATTTATAAGAAGAAGAAGAGAAATTTAAATTCAAACCTTAATTTACAAATTTAAAACCTCTCAATTTGATTTGGAGTATTGTACCGGTTTATATTTGTAAAAATAGAACACAAAATAGAAAGGAGGAGAAAATACGGAAGAGGTCTACATTGTGTGATGTTTGGGGTAACACTAAAAAGAGGTGTGCAACCCTAGTTACAAAATAGAAAAACCTTCTTGTGCACTTTCCTTGAGAAGCCTCACTTGAATGAAGTGTTCAGTTAATACTTCATTGTGGCATTTTAACAAACACCTAATGGGCATAAAAATGCCATACAATACATCAAGCAAACATTCAATCATGAATTCTATGTATACAGAACAATGAAATATCTCAACTAAACATCACTAACAAAAATTAAACATAATTTTACGATAAAACCAAAAAGATTCAAAAGAAGATTTATTACCATATATTGTGGTGGCTCAATGAAAGAGGTAGAAAAGGGTGGTGATGCTGCGATGGGACTCATTAGGGGCGGTGGTGGCTTTGTTAGTGCTCATTAGCGGCAGATGTGGTTTAGTCGGTGCTAATTAGTGGTACTCTGGTGGATTGGTGGCTTAGTCGTTCAGCGCTCGCTGCGCTCCATGTAGAATAAAATAATTTAGGGAATTAGGTTGATCTCTCATGCGACAAGTTCCTAAATGATTGTCAAAACGAGCTTAGTATTGATCAGCGTTGCTCAATTAAATATTTTTCAT